CCCGTTTTATTAGCTTTTTTAGATACTAATTTTTGATAAAAAATTCTCGGGTGCGAAGCCTAGTGTTTAGACGCTATTTTGGGTAACATTAACTCAGACACATCACAGTAAATAACATAAACATGAAACTATGGGTTGGTGTCTTGCCACTTCCCTAAGTCGACCCTATGCCTCAGATTCAAATTTCGCGCTACAACATACCCATTCATCGCCATACCAGCTATTTGAGCATATTCCTCCATTTCAAATTGCTTTCTAAACACCTCTACCTGTTGCCAAGCAGTCATGACCTGTAACATCGTCATCATCGTGACACATGGCGAGATGATTGGCGTGTAAACGGGTATTCCGTAAGGGCCATAGAAACACAAATCAAGAATTAAAGCAAATTGTCGTTGAACCTCGTCAACAACTTTTAACTTGAGTTCACTGGGTAGGACTGATGATTCGGAACCTTTCCGTGCCATCGGTTCTTGCATAGCAAAATTGGCAATGCCACCCTTGTCGGGAACAGCAGAGGCGGCTCCTTTTAAATCACCAGGAGAGATGATTTTCACGCCGACGGCTCCAAGACCCATCTTGATGATTGGGTTGTCAAAAGGCCCTCCGCCCAATGTCAGGCAAAAAAGTAGCCCAAATATCACAATCATTCTGTAAAAAATAATCTGAGTTTTGATTCATTCTTTTTTTTCAAAAATTGAAAGGCATTTTGATTATCTTGGTTGATTGTTAATTCCTTTTTTATTTATTTATAATTTATTTTATTATAATCATTAAGTTTTTATTATGAATGGTAATAATAATTGTTTATTATCGATAATTATTAGAACAACACCATTTAATTATTATAGTATTTATTAATTTAAAAAACTATTTGTTATTTTAATAGAAGAATCATATTTAACAACTTAAACTAATAATTTTAATAAATGTTTTTGGGATAGTTTTTGAAAAAAGATTTTTTCGGGTTTTCAACATTAAAAAAAACAAAATATCATTTTAAAAAACAAGTTGTCAAATTTTGAGATTCTATTTTATGGCGGAAAGAAAGACCATTCAAGGCTACAAAATGCTGTTGCAATAACAAAAAATGGAATTCGTTTTTCTGTTGATTGTTGCTCTAAGCAACACTGGATTTGCCAAAGACGTGGTCGAAGTTCTTGAAAAGGGGGTTGATGACAAAAGAGTCACTTTCCACAAATCTGCGCTCGATAAGTGCTATTACGTCAACGACTCCAGCTCGTTCATGTACACAAAAGATGAGGAGAGTCTCAGATATCTTATTTTCTCCACCTCGGATTGCCTTGGTTCGTTCACTGGATACACAATTGAGTATGGCGAAAATCAAAAGATTGACTTGTTCACATTCGCACCTTCACACATTGCTTTTAGTGCAGCAGCCGAAAAGCCAGATTGTCCGATGAGAGACAGAACAGTTCGACACTATTACACAAAGAACAAATTCTTGTGCAAAAACAATTACTGCAGATATAAGGTCGAAAAGAACGATGGTGGAGACAAGGTTTTGTATTTAATAACTTACTCGGACGAAAAGTGCAAAGAAGAGATCAAACGAGACAAGATTCAGGACTGCAATACTTGCAAAGAGGGTGTGATGTACCAGTGCGCAGCGTCTGCTGTTGCCCTCTTGTTTGTGGAAATTGTGTTGTTATTGATATAACTCATTGTCCTTGGGTGTTTTGTTCTAACTCAACTTGAACAAAACATTAAAAATGACCAAATTAGTTTCATATCATTTTTACGATTGTCAAAATCCTTTCTGCTGTTTTTGTCAATTCGGTTTGTTGGACCTCCCAAGCGTTTACAAGCTCTTTCATCTCGCTCTTCACCTCGGCTTTGGAAGTCAAAAATTCGGCAATTTCTTCCAATTGGATTTTCGCTTCGACTTTTCCATGCAAAATCCATTTTGTCAACGCAACGACAACAACGTTCAGCAAAACGTTTCTTTTCAATGTAAACTGTTTTCCCAGAGCAATTTTCTCTGTCTTTAACAGTTCGACAACTTTCTTCAAGTTCTCTTCGACGTTCTCTGCAGTGATCACTGCAATTTGTGCCGACGAAATCACGTCGTCTTTCAGTTCATTTGCGATTTCGATCTTTTCTCCGCCTTTCAAAATGTTCAAAACCTTTTGATATTGTCTCAGGACCTTGAAATTTCCGGTTCTATGCAAAATATCGTAAAACGGGGTTATTTCATTGACGACTGGGAGTGTTGTGAATAACTCAGAGAAGCAAGCGCTCCAGTCCGAGTTATCGACCAACATTTCCTTTGCCTCAAAGTCCACAATTTTTAGTACCTTTGCTTGACACTTTTCTTTCAAAAACTTTCCATTTTCAAAAGTGTGTTCGAAGGTGTCCAACAGGCGATACAACACGTCAGAAATTTGGACGGCTTCTCTCATCCCCGAGTTCTTCAATTTCTCTTCGAAGTTGAAGAAATCGTCATAAGCTTCCCAGTTCTGTGTTTGGAGTGCTTCGTTGATGTTGTCTTTCATTTGGATCAAATGCTCGTTGAACAAGTGGGTGTACTTCTTGTTAGTTATTTTCATCTTGTCGTTCCCACCAAATTCGAATTGAAGGGGGAAGATGAGATACCCGACCGATTCCAGTAATATTCCTTTGATGTCCATTCGTGCCTTCATTACCTCTTCAAATGCACAATCGCGCATGCCAAGCAATTCGTACATTTTACTCTTCAAGATATAAAACTCAAATTCGTCTTCATCTTTCTTCAACTCTTCGTCGCATAGAGTAATTCCATCTTCCAAGAACTTGACATTGAGTGTTGTTGTGTATCTCTCTATATACGAACTAACTAACGCAAATGTACTTTCAGCATTGCCGTCGACACGTTCAACGTCTTTATGAAGAGACACCAACAACTCGCTGTGAAACGTTTTAAATTGCTCTGTTCTTGTGAGGAGTGCCTTTTTGACTTCATCTCCGATCAATGGGAATACGTCTGCAGCTGTTGATCTGAGGTCGTTGAATAGATTTAAGAAGGTCAGAACACACTCGACGATATGAGGGACATCATTGAGTATAGTGTAATACTCAATCTCAAACAGATAAGGTGCTCGTTGCATTTCCTTTGTCATTTCCTTCTTTTTCTCCTCTTGAACGAAGTCGATGTATTTCTTGTGTTTCTCCGTATCGATATTTTTGAGGGCGTCAAGTAACACTTTATATGCGCTGTAGTCGTTGTCTTTGAATTCCTCAAAATATGCCAAAGACAAGTCAGCGGCCTTTTCGTATTGTTTTGCTTGAATTAATTCTTCGAGGTATTCAAGGGTTCGTTCTCGTTTCTCAAACAATGTGATTTCTTTACTCTTCAAGAGTTCTTCTAATATAGTCAGAGCCTCCAAACTCTCTCCATCCCTTTTAAGTAACGAGAGGTACAACGTCTTTTCACTTTGTGTTTGATGTGATCGTTTGAGGAACATCTTTGCCGTGGTCTTTGTTTTAGGGTTCTCTGCCATTAATTTGATTCGTGCGTCTTTGTACTTCTTGTCATTTGGTTTTTCTCTCCCGATGTCTCCAAGGAGTTTCTGTTGAAGAACAAAGTCTTTTTCAATGACAGCTAGAAGATATCGCTCTTCCATTCGTTTAATGTTTTTGGGGTTGTTGGCATATAATGAACGAACAGCGGTGTAATACCCTTCAGAATTCTTTTGAAGGATGTATATGTAATAAATCCATCCTACAGTCGTATCTTCAACACTCTCTTTCACTAGATCGCTTAAGATGGTAAAGGCCTCTTCTTCTTGGTTTGTATTGGAAAGGGCATACGCTTTGATGACACGCCAAAATTGATTGTTTGGTAACTTTTTAAGATGTTTGACGGCCTCTTTATATATCGTTTTGTACTGGGACTCATGGGCTAATTCAATGATAGAATCAATAATGCTATCCTCCGGTATCTTATGGACCACATCCATCACTGAAAACCAAAATGTGTTTTTTATGTTATAGTTGGTCTTATCTTTTTATTATCTATTGTTGTATTATTTATTTTACTATTTCTTTGTTTTAGTATTTAAAATTAAAAAAATTCATTTTTAAATAGTTTAATTGTAATTGGTATTATAGTAAATAGTATAGTATTTTATTAACTATTTAAATACTAATAATCTAATAATGATTTCTGAAAATCTTGAATAATTGTTTATACTATAAATAATAGTAATTTTATTATTTGTTATAATTGAATTAAATATAACATAATTATTATCATTTATAGCTTATTATCAATAAAAAAATGAGATTCTGTCATTATTTATTTGTTACTAACAATTTTAACTTGTTGGAACACAACAAGAATGGTTCTTTTCTATTTAAAAAAATCATTTAACTATATTTTATAATTAAATATAATTATTTTAACCAACAATTATTGTTTTTTTTTTAATAAAAAAAACATTTTAATCAATACTTCATCAAGAAACAAATTTTCATTTTTTCATTTTACAATCTTTTTTTTTTACTTATTAGAATGTTTGATTATTTAATTAAACAATTAACCTCTTTTTCTTGAATTGAAGGTCGATGTGATTGTCACAAAAAACATGAGTTTGTTTTTAACCTCGAACTGATTTGGTCGTTCGCCACCATTAATAAACTACTTATTATACCATTTAAAAATCAATACTATAGTTATTAAATGTTCAATGAATAGTTATAAATAACTTCAAATGAAACAAAAACCAATTAATGAAGTACTAATGCCTAATTAATAATAAAACCAGCGAATGTCCACAAATAGCAATGGCGGCATCGAAAGAAGAGAAAAAGAAACAATACAAAACTGAGAAGAAAAGATGAAGAAAAAGGAACAGAAGATCAAAGTGACTTTTGTTATTTCGCGGATCGATTATAGTGGTCTCTCTACAGAGATTGATCCAATCACTATATGTTATGACCGAGGCAAGAACAGTGGTGTTTCTGACAAGGTACAATTAAACACGACCATCAATGTGAAATTCGAATTTATTTCAACGTTTATCACAAAAAGTACTTCCCAAGGGACTTACAAACCAAAACTCATCACCGTTCGCGTAGTCAGTGCAAAGTCAAAGCAAGGCGAACTCTTCAATTTCTCACAAGACCTTTCCGATTTACTCATCGCAAAAGTGCAAGAAAAAACAGTCGAATTTAATTACAAAAAGTACAAATTCTCTTTGCACTACGCCGCAGTGTTCGAGTATGGTAATATTCTTCAACATAATAACATAGGCTTCGATTGCAAAATATCACACAAAAAGGCTAACTCAGACGCTACTAAACAAGAAAACACGGCTTTTGTTAAGACCTTAATGCTCAAACAAAGAAATAGTGCAAATGTCTTTTCGCAACAGAAAGCTATGTCAAGCGACACAACACCGGAGACTATCAAATATCGACACAAAAGTGTTAGAATCAATTTGCATGAACAAGAAACGGTCTCGCTGCCTTCTCCATTCAACGAGTTACAAAAAGATATCGCAAACGCCGCAATTTTCATGCAAATGGAAATTGAAACACATGGAAGAAATACAATATACACACAACTCATGTTCGACGCTCTCACAAAAAACGACGTTTTCAATACAGATAATATCGTGTCAAATGTCATCATACAAGACATCGCAAAAGCAACGAAACACGACTTGATGAAATTCCAAGAAGGGTTGTATTTACTCTCGTCACTCACACGACTCTATTTGATGCTTTTGAAAGAAGCTGAAAAGAGTCGTTCAATTCCGTTGAACCACTTTAACGCGTCGCTCAAAGAAATTAACAAAGAGTTGTACTCTTCTGTTATGTCGTTGATGGTGCCGAAACTTAAAGCCGCTGTCGACCAGTTGTTTGAGGGGCGTTGCGAAAACTTCAAACCCATAATGGACGAATTCGAACAACTCAGAACGGAATTCACCACCTTTGAATTGGTCCCACCGTTACAAAAACTGGTTTTAAGAGAGGCCACGCGCCTTCTTAATTTACTTATGTTCAACGCATTGACTTCGAAGACACAAGACTTGTGCAACACACAAACTTCTCTTCAAATTTCTATTGGGTTGAACACCTTGTTAGACTTCTTGAAACGGAAATTTGGGAAGATATTCGAAGAGGACCCCTTCTGCTTTGTTAGTGAATCTGTTCGAGTACTATTGCTCAATGACAAAACAATTTTGGAAGACGACGAAGCGCGTTCAAATGTATGTCCGCACCTCACAACACATTGTTTGAACACGTTGATATGTTGGTCACATCCTACAACTTCAAGCACATCTGCAAGCTGCTTGACTTCGAAATTAGAAGCCCAAGACTTCAAGCCCACATTCTATAACACCGACTTAAAGTCGATTTTCAAAGAGATGGAATTCATCGAATTCGTCAAGAGTTCTACGTCGCTCACTTTCACGCCCTTCGACTTCTTTGCCGTGCCCTTCGTGAAGAGAGCCTACCTCAAAGTGTAATTCACACATACCCTAAATACTTAAGTTGATCATCTCGAAGAAAATGGTATAAACAGTTTAATTAACATTATAAAAGACAAAACCTGTCCGTCATATAACAACGTCATAACTCATGTTGTTGTTGGTCTTCGTCGTTTCTACCGCCTTCGACCACTCACCCCAATACCCTTCATTCGCCTCGTTCGTCCCCCACGCATTTTGTTTCTCACTCGTTGATTTGTTATCTTCAAACGACGCCTCCAGTGATTCAGTGCTTTCACGTTTCGCCCTGTCGACATTCGCAGGTAATGTTGCAGCTCCTTTTGACACAACAAGTCCGCGAAACAACTCCTCGGTCTTTGCTCTTTCGATTTTTTTGTCGCATCTCTCCTTCAGAAACGCCTCCGATTTTTCTGAATTGTGTACGCGCTGCACTGGGACATTTTCCGCTCTCACAACTTCCGTCTCCTTTTGCTTCAAATCGGGCATCGTCAAATTTTGCAAGTCATCAAGGGTTTCTGAGTACTTCAAAAGTTCCGCACTAGCATACCCAAACACGCTTCTTGCTTTGCTTCTCACATCAGTGCGTTTGTCTATCAAAAATGTTGGAATGAGCGGAAGTACTTTAAGCGCCAACTCTTCTCCAGTAAACAGTTTCATGATTTTGTTTAATGAGCTCATCACAGACAGTCGCATCTCAAGACTAAAGTCTTTGGTTGCTTGTTTTGCCGCCATAATAACCAACTCTCTCGTCCGTAAGTCTTCAAACTTCCCCAGTGATTTGTCAACACAAATCACTGCATTCGTTCTCACGTGAATCGAAGAGTCGTGGATCCCCTTCAAAAACCTCTCATATATCAAGTTCTTCGTTTCTCCTTTTGTTTTCTCCAACACAGCACACAACCCCCTCAAACTTGCATCTCGAATACTCTCATTACTATCTTCACACATGACCATAATCGTCGGCACTATCTTTTCAACAAACTTGGTGTTCATTTGTTCAATACAACTTCTCAGATTACACAACGTGTTGTACCGAATTTGCAGCGTTGACTCAATGAGTTTGACAATGACTGGTTCTATCTCCCTTTCAAACTCAAACTCAGTCAGTCCATTTGACAGTCTCAAAATTGGTTCAACCACAAAACGCGCTTCGATAAGTTCGCTCTCAAATATTTTGATATAAAACGGCAACACAGTGTAACACAGAAAGTTGTCTTTCAACCGTTGCCCCGCCAAATATTTCAAAAACGTCTTTCTCGCATTTTCGTCAAGGAGAGTGTAATTATGAATCGTCTTATACACCGTGATGATAGGTATCGCCTGGATATTCGAGTTGAAGAGAATTTCCTCGATCGTGTCGATCCGGTTTTCCTTCAAAATTTCGACAATCTCCTTTGGCGCGTTTTTGAAACAATTCGCAAACTGCCAGAACATCTTCTTCTCGTCCCTCTGCACAAAATTATTTGCCAAATTACTCGGCGCTTCTTTGAACACAAATTGTAAATCCCCCAACTTCCACTCCCCCGATTTCGTCACAAACACCGACTCCATTGAGAACGAAAGGTGCTTATATCCGTTCTGATGTAAAAAGTCGAGAGCTGACGAGATCGTATACAGTCCAAGCATGATCTCGTTGGTGTCCAGCAAATACGTCTTAACAAATAACGACAACGGAACCGATTCTTCAAATAACACAAATATCGATTTGTCCTTCGAAATGACATCCAAAGTCTTTAAGATGTTCTTGTGATGGACCGTTTTAATCATTTTAAGAGCATTCTCGTTGATGAGTTTCGGGTTTGAAGAAGGAAAAGAGAGAACACATAAAGGTGCATATGTTTCGGTGTGGACAGCATGGGAGAAAGACGTCGTAGTGCGTCCATTGTGAAAAGAGGTGATGGGCTCCTCATGGGAGACGGGGATGGTCGTGTGGAAGAGTGACCGGAAGAATTTCATATGCCTTTATGAGTTCTCCGATACGTCGCACATCTCACTTGTGACAACTTGTGATTTTTCCAACAAACAGCAAAACGAATATGTTGAAAAGTGAGTGTAATATTTTGAGTTTTCGTTTTTTTATTAGAATTATTAATTATTTTATTATAAATATTAGTTCAAGTCAATAATCAAAAAAAACAAAAAAGCAAAAAACTGAATAAAACTTAGAAAAATGGAAATAGCTTTTGTTTATAATAAAAAATGGAATTATTTATTAGAATTGATAACCATCATTTTCTTCATTATTCAAAGACTTGAGTAAATTTCTGTTATTGAGTTTGTTCATTCCACATCATTCAGATTCGATCCTCTCATTTAAAAATGGTGGAAAGATGGAACAGTTAAAGAGGAAAAATAAAGAGACAAACCCAAGAACACCAAATGCGACAGACACAAAGAGCGATTGACCAACAAACGTGACTGGTATCGACTTCCATGCAAAGAAATAAAAACCAACAACCACGGCTGTGAGATTCACAGCTACGAGTATTGCGTTTATCCACACGTTGCCAAATCCCTTTCTATGGCTTTCATTTTTGTACCAAAAGTGCTGGAAAGCCAAAGAAATCGCACACATAGCAATTGGCACATTAAACAAAAACGAGAAATTCCCGTTAACAAAGAAAAGCCACGGCCCGTTTTGTTTAGCTGAGTAAATAGCGCAGATGTGCAGTCCAAAACCGATCCCATAAAACATAAACATTACAAATTGTATTGCTTTAAAAATTAGGACGTGCATGAGACAAACTAATTATCTTTTTAATTAGTTTACCAGTTCACTTTTTTTCCGTTTTACGGAAGATGTTGTACGAGTTCCTAACGTGGTCGAAGAGCACCTGTGCGCATTCCAATTGGTCTTGACTTCTGAATTGGTTCTTGTCTGGGTGGATCAACACAACAGCCTTTTTATACCAGGTAACAACACCGTCATAGTCACACAGATCCGTCATCCCAAGCTTCTTCCACTTCTGTCCTTCCCACAAAATGTCCTGCAGCGTTTTCAACAACGACCGGATATTCTTCCTCTGAGTAGTGCCCTTTTCATACGCCCACTCATTCACCATACTAACACTCAGCTCCGTCTTGTTGCCGTAGACAATTTTTGTCGGGTCTTCCTCTTCTTCTGTGGTCTCGGCGAGTGGGTCAACAAAGTTGGACTTTTTCTCTGATGGTGTGGTGCTTGATGGAACAGACGAGAAGAAGTCCATGATGTTGTCAGACTTCTTTTCCTCTTTTTGTTGTTCTGTTTCATTTGGCGAAGCCTGACTTTGTGGTTTCGAGCCAAACGAGTTGGCCTCAGCGTTTGTTGTTTCTGTGCTCTTTTCTTCTTCTGTTTTTTTAGGTGGTGTCGAAGAGAAAAAGTCGATATCAACTGGGGATTTTTCGGTCTTTGGAATATCACATTTCTTTTGGTTTTCTGGAGTTTTTGGTTGTGAGAGGGAAGTGAAAAAGTCGTTGACCGAGTTGTTTGTATTTGGGGTGTCGAACATTGAGCTGTTTTGTTGTGCAGTTTCGGTCTGTTTCGGCTTAGCGAAGTTCAAAGAAGCGAAAAAGTCATTACCTTTATTCTCTTTATTTTCTTTAGCTTCTTTCCCATATCTCAAGTTCTCTGTTTTTGGTGGTGCTGAAGCTTGTCTGACATATCCACCTTTCCCGCTCTGAGTTTTGTCTGTGAGGTCAAATGAAACGTTTGCAACTGGGGATTTTGAGGTCTTTGGTGCTTCCGTGAAGTCGAACAAATTTGTGTTATTTGGTGAACGACTTGGTGATGGAGTTTTTGGTGTTGGTGAGCCGCTTGTATGTGACAAACTAGATCCTTCCAAAAACTCGAACGCGGGCGTTACAGGAGGATTTGCTGGTTGTTTAGGAGATGTCTGTAGTAAAGATCCGAAAACGTCTGTATTTGTTTGGTGTGACGTCGGTGTTTGGAACAAAATATCTGTGTTCTGGAAATTTTCTGTGCGCACATTACTCTGGGTTTGTTGAGCCTTACTCACCGTAATTTTTTGTTTCTTTTGTGCACGGCCATTCATGTCCAGTGAAGCAAAGATGTCCTGTTTCTGAGACATTCAATAATAATCGAGTTCTTTCACAGAAACTCTTTCTTTTTTACAATCATTTCGGGTTGTATAAAATATTAACAACCTATTTTGTATAGTATATTTATTATATTGTATTACTATACCATTCCTTCATGCAATTCATTATTGGTTCTCCCATTCCCAGAATTGTTTTCAAGTTCTTTTCTTCATTTATTAAGATCCACCAAATCGGTGGTTAAAAAATCATTTGATTTTTTTATCTTGATATGACATTAAAATGTTATATATAACATTTTAAGACCCAAACACCGTTCAACCCTAAAACTCAAAAAAATGTTTGAATATTTGAGATTTTGAGAATGGCGGAAAGAACGAACAGAAAAGAAATAAAAAACGAATCAATGAAACGTAAGCAAAACCTAAGAAATAACTTAAGCCTTAACATCCTTGGCTGGGGCAGCAACCTCTTCTGCCTTCTTCTCTTGCTTCTTGAAAGCTGGTGAGACAGTGATTTTTCTTTCCATTTGGGTGGATTGGTTGAGTTCCTTAATAGCGTTTTGTTGGTCTTCCTTAGTCTTCAATTCGACGAAACCGAATCCCTTAGACTTGACGTAAGTTCTTCCGAAGGTGACGACTTTAGCGGAGACGACGTTGAATTTCTCGAAGGTCTTCTTAAGATCGTCGTCGGTGGCAGCGAAAGCAAGGTTTCCGACAAAGACAAGAGTTTCAGAGAATTCTTGTTTCTCTTCAGACTTTGGAGCTTCATTTCTTCTTCTTCTGTTATAGACTGGTCTTCTTTCATTGTTAAATCTTCTGTATCCTCTTGGTTGAGTTGATCCTTCTTGAGCTTGGGCTTCAGCTTTCTCGCCTTCTGCTCTTGGGGCGGCTTCTCTTGGTTGTCTTGGAGCGCGTGGTTGTCTTGGTTGTCTTTGACTTCTATCGACTGGTGGTCTAGCTACTTCGACTCTAACTTTTCTTCCGTCGAACTCAGCGCCAGTTGAAGCAACGGCCTTCTTGGCATCTTCTTCAGTCTCATACTCAACAAAACCAAAACCTTTGGAATAGCCTCTGTAGATCATCAGGCGGCATTCTTTCACTTTACCAAAGGACTCAAAGTGAGTTTTCATAGCTTCTTCAGTGGTCTTGAAGCTCAGGTTCCCTACGTACAACTTAGTCATTTCTCTTAGGTTTTGTTGTTTAAAGTTCTTAAACTTGATGTTTATTTTCTTATTTATTATTGGGGTTCTTCATTTCTACTTTTTACTATTTTATTAACACTTTTCTTCATATTTTGACAATGTTGAAGGGTTTCATAAAGTTATCTTATTTTACTTCTTTTAACTATTTAATTAGTTGTTCTATTTGCGTTTATTATTTGTAAATAATAGTTTTTGTTGGTATTTTATTATTATATTATTATATTATTAATAATTAAATACTAAAACTTATGGTAGTTGTTATATTAATGGTATATAAATGTTATTACCTGTAGTATTTAATATGTATGGTTTCATTAACTATACCTTAAACTAAATAGAAGCAACTAAAAATGAATATATATCTCTACTGCTCGATGTAATAGTGAGCCATACAGTTACCATGCTTTGTTAATCCGCACTTCTCGTAGAATTTGAGTACCTTATCGTTACAGTCCAAAATGACTTTATAACATTTTTCAATTTTACCAATTTCGAGTAAAGTGGTGATTAAGACTTTTCCCAGATCCAATCCTCTATATTCCTGTGACACAACAATATCTTCAATATGACCTACATTACTTCCCCCATGAATGAATTTTGACTCCACTAATAGAGTCCCCATTGTCACTATTTGATGTGTCTCGATGTCTTCTGCAACAATTACAAAGTAATTTGAATGCGACTGAATCGCATCAAAGACCTCTTCAAATCTCTTCTTTGATGTCTCACAAGTGGTCAGTTGACTTAACACCTTACATACCCCTTTCGTGTAATCGTTGCGACTTAGCGGTCGAAATTCAATAGCCCCGACACGCGGATACGGAAAGTCTAAAACAAACAATTCACTCATTGACGCATTGTTATTTCTCTTCAAGTTTAAATACTTGAAACTAACTTTCTCAACTCACTTTAGTCTTTCGTTTCGTTTAGACTGTAAACTTAGAGATACTTACTAAGTCAATTGTAATTCTATATCATTAATAAAATATATTATATTTTTATTATTTCTTTTTATTCGTTCTAATATCAATAACATTTTAATAAACATTTATAATAGCATTTTAAATAACATTTTTGTTGTTAAAACAGTTTTATTCACAAATAAAAACATTCCAATAACATTTTTTTTGTGTTGAAAATTCCAAGTGCTTTGAAGAAATCCAATGAACTTCATAAAATTAAATCATGTTCACTCTAATTCTTTTATTTGCACTCTCATACGCGGAAGACGCTACTCTGAAAGAAAATTACGATAGATATTTTCGAGCCGTGGTATACGTGCCAAAGACTTGTACATTAAAAACAGAGCCTGGAGTAGCTTCGTTTTTGAATGGAAAATACGAGAATTAGTTTGTCTTATTTTTAGCTCGTTAAATTTGAATATTAATTACCGTATATAAAAATGTGAAAGTTGAATCAAAGGAATTGACACACAGCCCACTTCTATTAAAAATAGGTTCAAACAAGACAGCAATAGCTTTCTATGATATCACTGGGCAACTTATTGAGGAAATTAATATCGAAGGATTCAAAAAGACGCAGATTGAAAACTTACTTGATAGACGTGGGTTTTTCATCGAAGACGTCAAAGCGTTCAAAGCAAATGAAATTGATGACAAAGATTTTGCTTTCAAAGAAATAATCAATTGATTCTTAGTCTTTTTTTCTTTCCTTTTTCATATAGTTTTTTTACCATAATCTATAGTAGTTTATTTTTATAATAAAATATAGTTATTAATAGAATAATCTGTCTTTAATTAAACTATTTATTACTAGTATTTAATTAATAAATTTATAATAAATTATTGTGAGAATAAATTGTTTGCTTTTATAACTTCTGTGTTGTTTGGTGATATTCAACCTACTTTTTTGAATTTAGTTAAATTCTAACTTATGAGGATATGATGATGATATCTTTTAATGTAATAACTTTATCGAAGTGTCACATTTATTTGTTGTTTTATCACAAATAGTGACAAACTTCAAAAAGACCGAAATGAACTCAAAAACTGTCAAAAAAATAGATGACCGTAGAAATCGATAACATTCCACAAGTCGACACTGAAGAAGACCTTGATCACATGGTACGTCCTCTTCAAGTGTGGGTAAAACAAATGAAAAAGCGACAATGGCTACCACAAGTAGCACCTTCCAATGTATTAGAGTATTGTACTCTTCAAGGTGAAGGTAATGAACACACATCCCGTTATCAAATTTATGTGAAAAAGCCATTTGATATTGTAATGAAAGCATATGAAAATACACAACTTGACAAATTACTGAAGCCAAATTTAATTGAGAACGAAACACTAATCAAACACGGGACAAATTCCTTAGAACGAGAAGTCCAAAATTTACCATGGGGGTCGTTCTCTGTTGCTCGGGAGTTTGTGTTTGCGCGTGTGAGGTTTGAGTTAGACGGAGAGGTGTATATCGTGTCATCAAGTGTGAACTCAAATAAAGCAAATACGTATAAAGACCAAGTCGTTCGAGCATACAAAAAGTTATCAGTCAGAGTCGCAAAGGATAAAAACGATGGGACGTCTATCGAAGTCATTATCGTCGTTGACTTGAGGGGATGGTCTTTGGGATATGTCAATGATTTGTTCATACAAGAACAATTAACTCCATTCATCCAGCTGAAGACTCAACTGGAACAGTGATTTAATTTTCTGTGTCACATAAGTAACTATTATCATATAATTTTTTAAATTAAAAATATAGTTTATTGTAATTCATACGAAATCTACTATTTATTAATTAATTAATATAATACTTCAAAACATATAGAATAATAATATAATTGATAATAAATTGATATTAAAACAATTGTTATTTCATAAGTTATTATTATAGTTTTCTTTTTATTTAAGATACAATTAGTAATAGTAACTATAAAAATGCAATATAAAAACTTGAAACTATTTTCACTGTATCATTGATTCAGTTAAAATAAACAATAAAATATAATACAAAAAATATTTTACAAATAAACTTTTTACAAACTCACATGTCTGAAAAGAATAACACAATACTATCTTTATCTAAATTACAATACAATAATAAAAGAACTAAATGTCAATAAGAAAAGAACACCAAAACAAAAACAAGCACAACTTCGAAGAACTGAAAAGCATAGCGAAGACAACTAAATGGCTTTTGGCATGAAAGTAACTCCTGCCACGTATGACTACACTGTATACCCCAAAATGGTTGAATTGGCTTCAAAAGCTTCTCAAGTTGGAAACACATTAAAACTCCTTGAAAACACTCTCAAGACTTTTGAAGACTCATTAGAAAGTATCATGGAACACGTCAACCCAAATGGAAACCCAACATCACTCGAGAACATCGTCCGTATTAATTTGTTTGTCCAGTCGAACGTCAAAACACAACTTTCAATGCTTGTTTGTTTTTTTTGTTATTCCAAATGTTTTTCTTTTTTGTGGTTGTAAAAATGTTATTTATTGTGTTATTGGATGTTGATCGACAGCAAGCCATTTACCGCAATTTCAGCGAGAAACTGAAGCAACCGTGGGACTGGGAAGAGGAGTTTAGCACAAATGAAGTTGTTAAAAAGCAACAGCTTCAAGAAATCTTTAACATTCAAATGTATCGATGTTTGACGTCGTTTTTAATCGACTTAAAAGGATTTAAACCGCCGATGCCGAGCGATTTACTGGATGACACGAAAATGAAACCGATAATTAACATCTCTGAGAGGGTTTGTTGTGAGAATGTTGGATGTGCTCGTTAATTCATTTGATGACAAATAGCTGAGAAATGAACGAGTCAAACATTTGAGTGTCAATTACACTACAAGTCCCCAAGAAATCATTAAGACGGAGAACCGGCCTACTTCTCTTCTTCCTTTATATATTGAAAGAATAATGTATCGGTTGTATTACTCTAAAGACGTTGAAGGGGTCTTTCGATTGTGTGCTGCTAAAAGTTCAATAGAGCAGTATATCAAATACATTGGAGTCATCGATTTTAGAATGACTGACTATGTCTTAGTCGGTGGTATTATCAAAAAGATCATGCGCGATATGAAGAAGCCAATATGGCCTATTGAACTCTTCGAAGACCTCATCGCAATCACCCAAGATCACAGCGATATAGACTGGGTCACTAATTTTAAGACTTTATATGAGCCAATCCAACAAGAAAACAAAGCTTTTCTTGAAGGTTTAATCGCTTTGTGTTTGAAAATTATTGAAAACCCAACGAGTAAAATGGATTTTAATTCTCTTGCTATTTGTGTGGGACCCGCCGTGATACGAACAGAACGCTCTTTGAAAGACTTGAAAACCCAATTTGTTATTGAGGCATTTGAAAAAATGCTGAGAAACGCAAAACAAATTTTCACCGTTTGCTTTTCTTTTCTCTAGGATTTGAATTATAATATTATTATAGTTATAATTAATAGTATTGTTTGAGCTGTTAAACTATAAACTTTAGATTGTTTAACTAATAAGATATTAATAATGTAGGACCTCGAAACATTCTTCATTCAATCATTGTACGACGATGTTATGTATCCACCTACAACTTACAAAGAAACGTTTACAGGAATGGCAGTTGTTGGACAGGTCAGACACTCAAAGAGAAATGGAGGTCGCAAGTTATCATTGTGCCAACCTAAAATGAGCTGGTCTGCAATATCGAAAGTCTAAAAGGTTGTACTATTATATGCTTGCGTTCCGTTTGCTGGTGTAATGAGTATAACAGATTCAGTATTCTTTGTGTATTAATTTATAACTTCTTGATGCAATTAGTCAATTCGCTAATACATTTGTATATAGTTATTTATATTATATTTATAAATTTTGTTTTTTACTATACTAAATTAATATTGTTATAATCCAAAATTAAATAATATAATAGTAAATATTAATTATACTTCTAATTTATTTTATTAAAAAGCAAAAACATTGTTTTGGTTAATTAAAATGAACTAATACCATTAAGATGGTTATAATTCACCAAAAATGCATTTTAAAACAAAAGACAGAAAAAGCAGACTCAAGAGAAGATTCAAAGAACTTGAAAAAAAGAATAAATAGATATGTCGGATTTACTTCCAACACTGACAACAAAAATCGAAGAAGATCCCGAACTTTTGATAAGCAAAACCGCGTGGGTAATCATAGGGTATGTAATGATAGCTATCGCACTTTTTGGAGGCATTGTGTTTGGCTTAATGACATACAGAAAGAAAAGAGAAAATGCAAGTTATGCCAACATTTAATTCATTCGTTTCTGTCTGTTTACTATGTAATATAGTTGTTTTACTATCACTTATAAAATTCAACTAAAATGTATTAGATTATATGATATTTTTACTACTTTATAATACATTTGTATAAAAAATTTAATTTTTTTTTAAACTATAAAAATTAAAATAAATGTTATAAGTTATTAATATAAACATATTTATTAATACTTTTACTTAATTGTTATTATAATCTATTATTAAACATGTATATAAATAATAGTTTAATTATTATATAAATTTTAATTGTATTATTGATTTTAGTTATAAATAACATTTATTTAGTTCATAGTTGAATCAGTTTTATAATAAAACTTTTATTTAAAAAAAAGAATGAATAATAAAAAAATAATATACAGTATGTGAGAAAAGTATGTGAGAATGAGAAAACCCTGTGGATTCAACAAAAATTACATATTTGTTTTTCTTTTTTTAAATAAAAATGTTTTTCTTTAAAAAAAACAATCTAAATAATATAATTATGAGCTCCAGGAATGTTGCTTTTAGTGGCTTAGACCATACAACACTTGAAAAGAATTTAAAGTATTGTCCTGGTCCAGTGAAAGAAATAGCCCAAAGAACATTCAGCAAACATTGCAACTTTTGTGAATTGCCCCTGAATGTTCAGGTGTATTTGATGAATATTGAAAGAGAAATTTTCAATGGAATTAATACGGAAAAGGTGACCGAGAGTAAACTATGTAGAGTCTTTGCTTTAACTTCAAGTCAGTTTAATATCAACAAACGAAGAGGTATGGAGACGGCATTGTTTGGAAAAAAAGATAACGGAAGACCGTCACTTTTAACTGAAACACAATGGGAAATTGTCAAGAATTTGATTCTTGATAATGAAAAGTTTCCAGGAAAATGCAAAGCTATCAGCATAACTTATTTGAGGTTGTTTATAATAAAAACCTTCAACGTTGATGTGTCAAACCATGTTATTTATGATAAAATACATAAAAATTGGAACTTTTCGATTGTTACTGTGTTTGCTGAAGACCAATCTCGATTGACCTACGACGAAGATGCCGTGTTGAAGTATTACATTGCACTGCCACTTTTTTTAAATGGCATCCCATCACCATTTATTATGAATTTGGATGAGTCAGGGTATCAGCCATGGCCAGACAGGCAAATGGTGAAGGGAGTATTCACTGCTGGTTTTTCCACAGACAGTAAAATGAAATATGGAGTCGAACGTGACATTGCTCGATCCACTGTCGTTTGCACTATTACCCCCTCACAACCTCTTCCTTGTATGATTGTAACAAAATACAAAAGAGTTGCAGTTGAATTCTTGAAATTGGGTTGGATGGAAACGGGAAACATCGTCAGTTATAGTAAAAACGGTTTTATCAACAGTGACCTATTTATACAATACATCAACGACGTTGTAGTACCTTATATTGTCGACATGAGAATTAAGACTGGTTATATTGATAAGGCAGTGCTGATATTTGATCAGTGCACGTGCCACTCAATCGAAGATGTGAGGTTGTTGCTCAAGTCGAATGTCCAAGTCAACGAGAAAATCATCAACGTGAACTGTGAAATCGTATGTTTGGTGCCTCACACCTCACATTTAACACAACCATTAGATGTTGGGGTGTTTGCAGCCCAAAAAAGAAGACTGAATTCGTTGTATGCTAAGTTCAGAGATGTCATAAAAATTAAAGATAGAGTTGGCGAGGAAGAAACAACAACGACAGAAAGTGAAGACGTTGAAGAAAAAGAAGAGTCAGATGATGTGATTGGAAACCAAGATCCCATTGAAGAACCAATAATACCTCAACAGTTTAAGGAAATGTTTCAGGAAGTGCTGGCAAATCCACAAGAAGCGATATCACCATTTAAAAAGAAGGCTGGTACGACTGTCAACGAAAGGATGGTGGATGACAACCAATCAGAAGATCGCAACGAAATACCAAATGAAACTAAAATTGTTGAATTCGGTGATGGAGAGGACTTAGAAAAAAAGTTTGCCAAATACCTCAACTCAATTCTGAAGTCTTATTTCCAAACAACCACTCCGGATGTGTGCACGCAGGCTTTTAGGCAAGTTGGTATTGATTTCAGAATTGTTGATAGTGGTATGAGGGTTGCGTATGTGGATATTGGAGTCTCACGCAGAGTAACAGCAGAAATACCGAAACTGTTAAGTATACCACAGTTATACTCGATTGAATGCGTCAAAACCAAAAGCTTGAAAATATCTGCAGTTCGAAAGCTTCCAATGTGTTTTGAGGGTTATTCGTGTCAGTCTGTTTGCAAGCCGTTAAAAAGAAAAGAACGGGATGTTGTATGTAAAGTTGTGAAGAAAAAGACGACCAAAAAAATCTCAAAAAGAACTAAAAATGGGGTTGAGAATTTAATCGATTGATTTTTATCTTTTTAATCAGTTGTATCGCCCAGTTCACACTACTGTTTCCTATCACAGGTCAGATGGTCACTGTTTGAATCAACATATGTCTGAACTATCATAAGTCCTTCCAATAGAAAATATTCGTTTGTTAAACTTTCTTTCGTTATTGAGATATTAACTTGTAGAACTTGCTCGCAAAAACTCTTAAATTAAACGTTGCCTGCTTTGAATCGTCTAGCTGCTATGGCTGATTTGTCCAGTATTCCTGGGATTCTTTAGCGTGAGGTCTGAGTCAATTAGTTGGTAAGTGCTGGCTGGCTGTTCACACTCTGAAAGCTGCTTTGTAGGTTTCCAAACAAATTGAAAGAGAAAATGAACTGTAAATAAGTGATTTTTTTATTTGATCTTTTTGAATTTTTTGAAATAAAAAAATAATAATTTTATTACATAAAAGTTACACAATTGTAACTTTTGTTGAATCCACAGGGTTTTCTCATTCTCACATACTATTCTCACATACTGTATTATTATTAGAATAAAACTATATTTTTTTTGAAAAACAGAACAATTCGATATTCATTTCATTAATAAATAATTAACAATTCAAAAAAGAGTCAAAAATCAGAAAGATATGAACTTGAAAGTTAAAAATGACAACGAGATTAGGTGAGGTAGAACGACAACTGATTCCCTATTTAAGCGAGAAAGATGCCCACAAATTTTTGATGATAAGAAAATTGGATCAGCAGCTGTTTCTTAATTATACAGCCAATCCATTTTCTATTGAGAACCCAATCTTGTTCCCCCAAATGAAACAACAGAATCTGTTTACTCGAGACGATATTGAATTACCAAAAATGGATTTTTATATTGTTCATTATCAAGTTGAATACTCAGAGTTCTTATCCAAAGCCAAGGAAAACCACATCTACAAAAACGTCGTATTCTCACAAAACGATCGAGAGATTTGGGAAGAGAATCATCTTGAATCTCTACGAGAAGATGATGAGGATAGCGAAGCCGATTCTTTGGAAGACCTTCAAAAGTCAAGATTGGTCAACATCGAATTACCTCTTAACATCAAGTTACTCAGAAATTCCGCGTTTGAGAACAGTCTTAATTTGAGAGTTGTCAAAATGGCCGACCAAATCACTCACATTGGGAATAACACGTTTAAAGGTTGCGCTCAACTGAGCAAGATCAACTTGTCATCGAAACTTGTTTCTATTGGCACCTCGGCGTTTTACAAGTGCGTCAACTTGAAGAAAATTGAGTTCCCAACATGTTTGGCATATCTTGGAGAATATGCTTTCGGCCAATGCAAAGCGTTGACTGAAGTTGGGTTTAAAGGGGAACATTTGCACTGCGTGTTGCCACTTTGGCTGAAGAACAAATTACCTTCAAATGTCAAAGTCGATTATGTTGGGTTTGACAAAGACGACAGAGCTTTGTATGAAAAAGCAAACGTTGACAAACTGATTGATGATAACATTGTTTCTGTTGTCATTCCAAACGGAGTCAATGTAATAGGATCAAGCACTTTTTGTGGATGCCAGTTGTTGAGCCATGTTGTTTTCCCGAACAGCTTAGTGTGCTTGAAAGATTTCTGTTTTAGGGAATGCCGAGCGTTACAAGAAGTCGTTCTTCCACCAACGTTGAAGGCGTTGGGATATCAGGCGTTCTTTAAATGTCCTCTTTTGAAAGAAGTTGTGATTCCCCAAACTGTGTTATGCCTTGGTGATTGTTGTTTTGGGTGGTGCAAAGGTTTAAAGAGGGTGAAACTTCCATTTGCGCTGAAGAGCAGTGGGATGAACATATTTTGGGAGAGTCCCGCAGTCTTAAATTACTATTAATTGATTGCCATTATTCATTTCAATATGTTAGTCTTCATCAGCTTGAAGAAAATGATGAAAGACGAACGAACATCAAAGAAAGATAAGAATTAATTAGCCCAAATTCTAAGGGTGGAATCCCAAGACCCAGTACACAAAGCAAACCCATCTGGAGAAACACCCAAGCAACTTACACGATTTTCATGGCCCGTCAGTCGAGTGATATAGTCACCCTTCAAGACATCCCACCACAAGCATCCCAAGTCATCATACCCACAGAACAAATATCTTCCTGTCGAACTAATAGCAACACTTGTCACGCCATGTTGCATACTTTCAGACGAGTAATTCATCAATTCTCTGTCCGCTCGAATATCAAAGAGTTTGCATGAGAAGTCATCACTTCCAGTAATGAAAGCATTTCCACTAGGGTGGTACGCAATAGCGTTGATATCAGCGTCGTGTCCGGTGAATGTCGCAACACAGTTTTCCATTCTGATATCCCACAACTTTGCCATCGAGTCACACGCCCCAGACACAAAAGTGTTGTGGTCGGGTGAGACGGAGACGCACATGACATCGGCTTGATGGTCTTTGAAATCCATCAATTTAGTTGTTTGTTCGACGTCCCACAAACAGCAAGTGGAGTCACCAGAAGACGTCAAAATTCTGTTCTCATCGACGTAACGCATACAAGAAATATATCCAACGTGTCCAGCCAATTCAGCAGTCGTGTTATTCAATGGTTCATTGCTCGACGATTTTGGAGCAATCGAATAGATCGAGACGATGTTATCAAGCCCACCACACGCTACAAATTTCATTGATGGCGCATAAGCACAAGTCATGACCCACGAGCTTCGTATACGAATGCAATGGATCTTTTGTGTCGACTGGCCATCCCATGTTAACATCAACCCATCTTGTGACGCACTGACTAAATGAGTCGAATCAGCTGCCCAATGCATCGCGTATATCTTCGAGATATGGCCTCGAAGCCCACGTTTAAATCTGACGTGGTCACTCTTACTAATCCCCGGTATTTCAGATGTAAATTTCTTCACTACTCGTTAATAAAACAGACTCCCTTGGGTTAACATGTTATCATTAATTATTAAAACTATTGATTGTGGTTTTGTCTCCTTTAATGTGGAAATCAATAAGTAAACTATTGATTTACCATGTAAACAATAACATTTATATGCTCTAAATAACATTTTTTTAAAATTTTACACGTCGATAGTTAAAATCACAAACTGGTTGTGTCCTCTTTTGCTTCGCGATTCGCTCGAGTCTCTTCTTTAATCTGGTCTATCTCTTTTCGCGTTTGGATGATTTTCGCTTGAAGCTCTTCTGCCATTTCTATGGTTTTAATGAGTTTCTATTTTTCTTTTTGTTTATTGGCCATTTAAGATTGACAAATTATTAATTTTGATTCATTGTACTATTATTTATAACTTCTGATGATATTTTGGAACAACCAATTTCAAGATCTTTTTTTTCATCATATTTTTATACTTTTTCTTGGTAGTCAGATTAAATCATAGTTTATCATTAACTATAAAATACTATAAATATCTAGTTTTTTATATCACTATTTTTAATGGAGTGTTTTTTTTATTAATATCGAACCATTAATATTACTAAAATAAATATATTTCATTTGTTATTATATTTATAGTATATTTATAATATTGAACTAAAAATACTTATTTAATAAGTTATAAAAAACTAATTGTATTTTGTAATACAAAATTCACTCATTTTTTTTATTGTTCTAATAATATATATTTAAATTAAAAAGAAAAAAATAACAATTAAATAGTTTTATAAACAATTTAAACAACTATATTATATAATAAATTGTTTAAAATTATTTATCATTCTTTATTAATAGATAATTAGAATGATAAAACTATATTATGACCAATCAAAAAAAAGTAATTATCAGTGCCACGTCACTTTGTTTGAGAAATTATAATATTTAAATTATATCATAGTAACCATATATTTTATATACTTCTGATGAACTTATAAACAAAATGGAAGAGCTTTTGACACGTCTTCAAAGCAAAACAGCAGATTCCACTAAACTAAAAAATGACGATTTTTCAAAGCAATTTGTCACTGATTTGGTTTCTCAGTACACCGAAGGAAATCAAAATGAATTTTTACAGATTTTGAATCAGTTTTTGAACTCATTAGATTCGTCTGAATTTACTGAGAAATTGGACTTATTTACTGAAGGAGCTGGGACAAAAGTTTTGGACATTTTGTTGTCCCTTTGCCAAGCCAAATTTGACTTAACACAAATATCACAATTAATCACGTGTTTAGCATATGTCACCAATAAAAATATCGCAGTGAAGAGATATTTATATGACAACGACATCATTTCAGGCATTCAAGCGCTGTTACTTAACAAACACATCTTAACTGTCTTTTCTCAACTCTTCGACAAATTTGATGTCGAAGGCAAAGCGACATCGACACAGACGAATGTCCAATTCGTCACGGCGTTGTTGTCTTCACTTTTAACACTGACGACCAATTGTCCTGAAATTCAAAAGGATTTATCGGAAAAGGGGATCGTCGAGTTGCTCTGTAAGTTATATGAAAATTCAGTCGACTCTCCTAAAGAACTTTTGATAGTTTTTGCAACACTTGCTGCTGTTATAGAGAGTTATATTGTCAAATCAATGGACCTATTGCCCAACAAAATAGTCACGATCTGCAAAACTTTAATCTTCTCCGCAAAGACTAAGGGAATTCGAGTCAGTGCTTTACGACTTTTAGTTTCCATCGCTGAATTGAAACTCGACAGATTCAGAGACTTCTTCAGACAATTGCTCAGCGATTTGATGAGAGACACCCCCCTCGATTATGTCATCCATCAGAGCAGTTTACTCTTATTTAAGACCATCGCTTCCGATAAGAAGATAGAGGCCTTTGTTATAATCCCATATATCACCCAATTGATAGAAATTATGGAAAAAGAAGAGAATAACGTTTCTCTCATGGCAATCGAATGTTTGAACCAAATTGCTCTTCGTGATGAATCGTTAAGTATCATTTCATCAAAAGTGTCGGAAGTCGTTACAAAGGCAAAAGAGTCGGAAGGAAACATGTACTCGACTCTAATGATCTTACTTGCAAATATGGGAAGAACCGACGAGACTATTGCTGCTTATCGAAAGTTGGGGGTGGCGGATATCATCGTGAATTATATGAATGGGCACCAAACGGAAGAACAAAGTCTGTTAATGTCTCTTTCAGTGTTATCGGCAATTTCGGTGCTTAAAGACAACAGAGACTATTTGGTCAATGATGTGAAGATATTCGAAGTCTTAGAAAAGTGGTATCACTACACTAAGAATCAAGTCATCATCTTTAACAACCAACAAATAATTTCAAGACTCATTCTTAATAGTCCGGAACGAGCAGAAGTCTTTATGAAAGTCGATAACGCGTTAAACAATGTTGTCGAGACTGCGACATACACGGTCAGATTGGTCAAGGAAAAGAGGACGCCAGAAACAGCAACACGTGAGATCAGAGATGTCCGCGTGTCTTACGAAGCAACAAGAATCGTTTGCAATTTGATTCAATTCAAACCCGAAAATGCAGTAGAGATATTGAAGGATGAATATATCTTATTTTCAATTGCTGAATTGGTTAACTCGCGTTATGACATATTGAGAACAGAAGGTGGCAAAGCTTTGGAGACAATTAAACAGCTCAAACTTTGTTCGGAACAACAGGTAGATGACGCTTTAAGTCGGAAATTTTAAATTCTTCTTTATACTCCAATTATTCAGTCATTCTAAATAATTCAATGTATCACAACATCTTTATATAAAGAAATAATAAGAATACAAAAAAAACATATTTTAATAGTAAAACGCAATATCGTCGAGAAGAATTTCCTTTGTGAAGTACACTCTAAACTTTGTAACATAAACATTTGGAGTAGGAAAGTCAAATGAATACGTCTGTAACAAAAACAGTTTGGCGATATCCGTACTACTGTCATGGGTGTCAATTCGTTTGTAAGTGAACGAAGGCAGCCGAAATATTTCCCCGTTACTTTTGTACACAACCACAAATTGGTCATACTTAATCTCTTTGTTGTCCACGTCTTTGAAGAATGAAAATTTTATTCCACTTGCATTTATATTCTCTTTCCTCTTGAATTCGCAATAGCACAACTGACCTGCATCACACGCGAATATCAAGTGGAGTGATTGGTAAATATTTTGGAACAACTTTCCTGAGAAGGTTGCGTTTGTATCCATAATCACAGCATTTTCGCTTCCATTAGCAAATACAATCACTTCCTTACTCGACTCAAACGTGCTATAATACTCACTTTTAGTTGGGATGATTCCCTTTCCATTTTTGAAGTCCTTTAACAAGTCCAAATTGGTGCAATCACCAACTAAGCTGCACAAAAAGTGACTTGTCAAGTAGTTGTTTGAAACACATCGCAACTCGGTATCAGTCAACATGTTTGGTTCGTTCTTGTACAATTTATCTACCCAGATGTCGGACGTGTTTCGTTTGTCTTTCATGTTAAACGACGTTCCAATACCCTTTTCTATGATCAAACATCCACTGTATTGGTACTCCCGTGAGTCGTTCCTTTCTGTCTTATTAAATAAGTAGTAACTCGACAAAAGTGGCGGATCATACGCAGACAGCTCTGGTAACGTCTCTAAAAAGAACGAATCGAGGTTTTGAATTGGGTTGTTGATCGGAATTTCTTTGCAATTCATTGCAGAAAAACTCACCACCTTAATTGGTTGCATATTATCTATCCCAACCACTTGTTCGTTGTTCTTGAGTGTGTTGCTTACTCGCATAGCCACGCCGCCACCCTCTCGATCACCAATAATCCCTATTCCACTAAAGTTCAATTTCATATTGAAATGTTGGTTGAGTCTGTCGTACAAATAATTCATTGCGTTAAGAGTTAACCGTACTCGAGCTTCAATGTACACCTCACTCACCTCACTTGTGTTGTCCTTTGGAACAATCCACTCACCGTTCACATCTTTATCCAAAAACCCGTGGTCAAGGGAAATGGACACAATCCCGTTTTCTGCAAGTGACTCCTGCAAGTAGACGTACCCCATATCAGTGTCAATTAAATTGGTCATGGAATTCGATAAAATAAATACAACTTCGTTCATTGGTTTGATAACGCTTGGGTAATAAACAATTCCATTCATCGGGATTCTTTCACTTGTCATACGGTAATAGTCTTTTGTAGAAGAACTCACTTCTAACAAATCAGACATGTTGATAGTTGGCGTTATAATCGAGGGCTTTGCGTATTCTTGTCGGAAATACGTCGCCTCTCCAATGCCAAACGTCAGTTGTGAAATGTGTTTTTCAAAGTCGCAGTAACTCGTCGAGTTGTGTGCAAACGTCGCATTGACGGTGTCGAATGTTGTCACCAAGTGCTCCTCTGGTTTTGTGTACATCACAAAAACAAGTACAGAACATACATTCAAAACAAATACAAACAAAATAAACACCAGAACAATGGTGGTAGCTATTTTCCGTGATTTCATTGCGGTTATTTTCTCTTTAATGTACACCCAAAGCGAACGATTTTGTCGTGTTAGATTGTATAAAAGTATGGTCGCCTTAATCGCCAACACTATGACAATAGAAATCAATACTGCAAACGTGAAAAGTATCAATAAAAGTGAATAGAAATGCACTGACGTCATTGGAACAATAAATCCGAAAATAACGGTCACTACAAGAAGCAAGAAAAATGACAGAAAAGTTTCCTGTTTGAACGAGTTATGAACAATCGCAAACGACAGCTCAAAAAGAACGAAAAATACGACCAACAAGATTTTCCAGAAAAAGAAAATCGCCAACGAGATATTGATGAAGCACACAATCGTATATTCCACAACTTGGGAATACAAATTTCTGAAAGACACGGCAGATTGTGAGAAGAAGAACAACTCAACAAACGCCACAACGCACGCAACAATCGAGAGGAATATTGAGAATATTTTGATGTGATACTCGTTCTGTTGACAGAATGTGAAATACAACCGTTCAAACCTTGCAAGCGGCGACAAATTCTCTCTATCATCTTCTGGGATGACGTATACCATATTCTCAGCGATGATCTTTTCAACGTTTGGTAATTTGAAAACAAAGGTCTTTTCGTCGTAATTGTTGATCAGTGTGGAAAACACCTTTTTGACAATTCGGTTCTTTTTCAAAAATTGTTGGACTTTGTCAATTCTGAGAACAAACTTGACAAGACTGTACGCCAAGAACACAATACCTTCAACAATACCAACTGACAGGATTAAGATAAATCCGTGGAGATTGTTATCGACGAAAATGAGACAAAACGAATTTGCGATCAAGCATATAGCAGCCAAGATAGTGACGGAGAGTTGCTTGGACCACCCGCGATGTGTTGTAGGGTTGGGTTTGAAGTCGTCTGATCTTAAATAGTAAATGTCTCCCATTTCGTCGTTCAAATGCTCGTCCTCCCCTGACTTGTCGCTCATTATAGATTGTTAGTTTTACCATTTTTTGTACTCATAAAAATGGTAATCTATTTTTGCTTTGACCTTTTCGATTTCCAATTATTTCCACTGATTTTCGGTGCTCAAGTGCCAGCTTATTCCACAATTCAATTCATTTCATCAAATGTTAACAAATCAACGGTTGTGATTACAATCTTCTCATTTACTCAAAACCACCGTTTCGGAACGAAACCATATAAAAGGCATTAAATTAGAGTTCTATTTCATCATCGTACTTAAGTACAGAATCATCATCATGCAGGGACTCAGTCTTGCTCTCAACGAGCTCCTCCTGCAGGCTGGCAGGAGAGATTTTGTCTTTCGATTCGCTGTCAACACTTTTTTCTCCGTCTTTCATTTCGTCTCGAGGAAGCTCTTTAAAGTCTTCATACGGCAAAGGAGCCAACCCAACCCAACTCCTCATTGTGTTGATCTTCGTCTTCACGTACTTATTCGCTTTATTAGCGGAGCACTTGTCAATGTAATCATACTTTAATTGCAAAAAGCACAACACAATATGTTGGAGCAAACTCATGACATAACTCATCAACGTGGTGAAGTGCTGTTTTGTTCCAAATATCATGTAAAATGTGATGACCGCCGTTCCTACAGTGGTTACCCAATTTGTAGTGAATGACATTGATCCACACTCTTTCGTCCTGAACGTCAACCAAATTTGTGGAAAGTACTCGACCAAAGTCGTGAGGGTTGATCCAATACCAAATGAAAGCCCAACGTAATATGTGATCTTGTCGCATTCACCCCAAATCAGTAAACAGCCTGCTATGATTCCAATTGAAAAAATCAAAAAGAAGCACGCCGAGACGAAATAGATCAGCGACCGTTTGAAGTTCTTCGACTTCTTGTCTTTGTAAAAAACAAGGAACAAAAAGAAAATTGGGTAGCACAACAACAACAGTTCCACAATTTGAAAGAACGATAGAAGTTGCGGCAAACACAATTTAAACCCAATCACAAAACAGCTGTGGACTGTTGGAAAATTTGTGATCGTTGCGTTGATCACTGCGAATATTTGATTGAAGGACAAAATAAGAAGAAATGATGGTGACAACCCGTTGCCGTCCCTCAGCCGCAAAATTTTGTAGATTTGCGGGAAGAGACAGACAAATGAAAAAAAGATGATCAACACACCAAGCAGAATTCCAAACCACGACATTTCAGTAACAAAACTGAAGTCCGACGAGTCTTCAAGTGGAGCGTTTTTGCAGGCATCGAGGCCGTCTAGTGAGAATGCGAGGTTCTGAACAATCATAAGAATCAGCACAAGAAGTTGGACCAACTGCATAGTTGCTTCGCTTTGATATATTTGTTCTTCATTGTCAGAAACAGTCTATTGAACAAAATTTTTCAAGGTGTTATTTTCTTGGGATTGAGAATGGTTAGTTTTACCATTATTATAGTTTACCATTATATATCGTTTTAATTGTAAATAAACCTTAATATTTAGAATATTTATCATTCAACATATTCAAATAAAACGGGAGAATATGATAACATGAAAGTTACTTTTAAATCAATCAGACTCATGTTTGTTTGTTGAAAAGAGATTATTATTACTTTATTATATTTTATCAATAAAATATAATTTGTTATATATACATGGACACAATTGGCTCAAAATGCAATAGTTGTATTTTGTTGTCTGTTTTCCACAGTAATTTTTTTTTGATATGAAAAATGTTTTTTATTCCTGATTATTTGGCTTGTAATAAACTCTTAATACCTATAAAACACAGACATTAATCCCTCCTTATTTGAGTTTTAGTTACATTTTACTACCCGACAGCACTTTTAAATTTTTGGCATATTTTTTTAATTGGATGTTGTTTAAAAGTGATTTCTGGGAATGAAATGTCACAACTCCTATTTCTCATTTCTCTATTTCTAGAAATTACATTTTATTAAGAAAAAAAATAATTTAATTATACTATCTTTAAAGTTTAATACCAATTAATCAAAAATTCATCATTATTATTTAAAAGTCGAATTTAAAATGGCATAACTCTTTTTCGATGTTATTTAAAATTCACAAAGTGACATTTATATATTGGATTATAGTGGTATTAATCATACTACTGAATTGTTTTAAACTCAGCCCACTTGTGTTTAACACAAAAATTGGAGTTATTCTTCTTATATTGCAAATCTCATTTCATTTTTTTATCAAAAGTTTAATATTTGGTTATAATAGCTTCAAGATAACAAACAGTTTCATCATGTTTGTTCAATATTACAATTCATCTATGTGTTTCAAGTACTGATGACAATATTTTAAACAATTTTCATATTATAAAAATTGAAATCACATAATTTAATACATCATAAAGAAAGACAAATTATTTTTTAAAAATTGTTTTTAAAAATTGTTCAATGTTTCTGTTATAACAAAAAAACACTGTTTATAGTATTTTATTATTATATTATTATTGATAGCTTATATAGTTTAAGTTTAATTTGTACATTAATTTATTAGTTATATTAAAATAAGAAAGAATAAGACAACGTGGCCGAGTGGTCCAAGGCGTATGACTCGAAATCATTTCTCATTTGAGGCGTAGGTTCAAATCCTGCCGTTGTCGTTTTTCTTTTTTAATTATTTAAAAAAATACAACACTAAAAAATAAAAATGCATTTGCCGGGACTCGAACCCGGATCTCCACCTTGGAAGGGTGGAATTCTGCCCTTAGACCACAAATGCTTCTTAATAAAAATGTTTTTATTTTTACATACGTTGTAATACAATTTATTATTTGTGATGAAAGTGATTAACTAAGATTTGTTTTGTTTTCGAGTTGTTAATCATTATTATTAATTATGAAACCTAAAATATTATAATCAAAACAACAAAAAAAAAATAGCTTTTTATTATATCAAAACAAACAATTTATTAAATAATTGTTTAAAATTAGTATAATATATAAGTTATTTAAATATAATTATAAATTAATATAAAAAAGGAATAATATGAACATTTTTTTACATTTTAATTTGTTTTATAAATATCCCTGTTTTTACAGGGATATTAATCCATTTTTTAATGGTTTTCCTTTTTTTGGCTTGTGTATTGTTTATGCACAAAATAAAAACTCTAAAAAACGGAATTTTATTTAATAAACTCTAGATTTCCCGATTTTTAGACCACTTGAATTTTGTTTAATGTTTTTTAAAGTGTTAATATGTAATAATAATACTAATCTTTAGAATCATAAATATATTATAGTTTAAATCAATTATAATTAAATTAATAATTATTAAATTAGTAACAAAACAATCAAGATGTTCTTTGAGATTTCTAATTATATTAATTTTAATTCATCCCGATATTTAGCGTGATATAAAATCAATAAACCAACAAAAACAAAAGAAATGTGAAAAAAAAGTTGATTTAAGTTTTTACTAAAGTATAGTAAAAAAATCGTATTTAAGAATTGGCTCAAATTACCTCAACGATGTAGTGAATCCCGAACTAATAGAAGTAAAATTCCTATAAAGGCATAAAAGTCAAATCCTTTTAATTAATTTTGTCTTCAAAAAAAGGAACTAAAAAGTTTCATATTTTACACACGATGCGATTTGTCGGGATTTTGGTGTTAGTTCTAGCACTCTGTGTTTTTGGCCAGTCGAGCGGATTTTGGATGTCGACTCTCTACCGTGTCGAGGAGCGAGCTGGTGAGATTGAGATGCGTTTACAAGAAGTAGAAGATCAAGAGCGTCACATTGGGAACATGATTGATGAAAATGTTCTCGATCTGAAGAATTCGATAACTAAAAAGCAGAAGTACATAATAGGGCGTAAGATCTCACACTTGCGTTCACAGTTAGTTGTTCTTCACACACGAAAATTAGCTATGATGCGAACCCTTCGGAAGATCATTAAATCTCTTCCTCATAAGTATCAAAAACAAATGATCCGAAGAGTTCGTTTGGAGAAGCGTTTCTCTTCCATTCGCGACATCACAAAGGAAGCGAAACACATTTTGAAGCCTGACTTTAAAGTCCATCACAAGGCTTCTATTAAAAGGACTTTGAAGAACATGGGCCATGGCTTAGCAGATAAAGTCAAGAAGATCGGGAAAAAGTAATTTGAGTTGTCTTTTCATTTCATTTTGGGAACAACCACCTTCTTTTCTTGTTGTCTTCTTTAAAACACTAAGTCGCAGTGCAATAAAAAAATTCAATTAGAAGTAATTCTCGGGCTGCAAGAAATAGCAGAACACAACTGCACCTATAGCAGGAGCAGCTGACATCATCAATGACGTGATCGAAAGGTCCGATTTTTGTTTGTGTGGGACAGAAAAGACAAACAGCAGTAAAGCGCCGAGAACTAATAAACGAGACTAGACGGTGAGGTATTCTTGAAAGGGTTTGTTCGGCAGAGAAAACAACAAACTTTGTAGAAAAAGGACACAAGACTCATGATGACGGAGAACATACTTAATACACTAAAATTGGCTTCATCTTCTATGTCATACGGCCACATGACTCTTGGCGCTTGTTGTTGTTCGGCTGACATTCTCTAGGAATTATTAGTTATTATATTTTTAGTATTATTTACTATTAACATGTCAATTGATAAATAGTTAATTAAATTAATATAGAGTTATATTACATTACTTGAACTTTATACTATTTATATAGTTAATTTAATTGTAATAGTTAATTCAATTTAATTAACTTAAATTAAAAACAGTAATTATTATTGTTGTGCGAACATACAGACAGACTTTTTTATTGAAGCATGTTGAGCTTGCTTCGAAGGAACTGATTTACTCTTTTGAGCTTCTCGACTTCAGTACGAAGACTTGTGTTAAGCTCGACAGACAGTCGCTCCTCGTCTTCGACCCAAGTCATAAACTCGGAGACAGCAAAATTGACGTTTTGAGTCAAACAAGGATCACACCGCCCTTTGACAGCTGTAAAGATGTCGCTGAAGTCTCCGTCGAAATTGTTGTTAATTTTCTTCATCTCCATCTTGACAGTATCAACGATCTTGAGGAGAGACGCTTCTTGTAATTTAGACGAGACAAGACCTGCGTCAAACCCTATTGGTGAAGACAAGATGATCATCATTAAGCCATCTATCGCCATTTTCAGATTTTTGTTTGGTTCGATTCCTTCTCTTTGGATGAAGACTTTGTTCACTTCCATTTGGAGGATTTTAAGAATCTCCGAGTGTGCTGTAAATGGCGTTAACAAGAATCTTAAGAAGAAAAGTGTCGAGACGGCATTTCTAGCTTCTATTGCCGAACGTTTCTCAGTCACTCGATGATAAATAGAACGCAAAACACAGCGAAGGTGAAAGGGAATTCGTGTCAAATTATCAAAGACAAGTTGACTAAACCCTTCAACTAATTGTGTCTTCGTTAACTCAATCTCTGCTTTACTCCCATTCTGAAGTCGATCAGTCACTATTTCGACTTCATAGAAATTGAGAAGACTGACCGAAGTCGCATTTAATAAATCAACACAGTATTTCTTCAAATAAGCACTGTAAACACGTGTAAAAGGAGAGTTTCCTCGAAACAAGAAGTTGTGTTTGCATGTCGAGTCGATCTCCCGTTTGGCCATCTCGATGATCAACTGATTGATCTTCCCGCGCGACGCATAGTAATCAACAAGGGCATTGACTTGAGACTCGACCACGTCATGTTTGAGCAACTGATTTGTCAATGATTATTTTAGTAAACTATTCATATGATATTAAGAAACTATTTGAATAACACAAAAGAGTTAAAACACAAAAATGGATTTTGACACTTCACTTTTTGTATTTTGTTGTTGAATAGTAAATGTCTTGTAAAACATTATAACTATTTAATAATAATATAATAATATAATAATATAATAACAAACAGCATCAGAATACGCATAAAGCAAAGTGTTGGAGTAAAAGAACGCCTTTCTGAATAATTCCTCTGTCGATCCTTTTGAGTTTGTTATTACTCTTGACGATGTTGATCGAGAGAAAGGGGGAGAGAAGTAGATTGGAGTATGCACAGGTGGTGAAGAAGTAAATTTTGATGAAGGAAGAGAGTATTTAGAGAATGACGAGTGTTGTGAAGTAGAGTCTGGAGTTGGTATATTAGAGAATGACGACTCTGTAATAATAAGTGAATTTGTAAAAGTAGAACGTGGTAATATTTTGACTGCCATTGTGTATGAGTGAATAGAGTTTTCGTCATTAAATAGCGAAATCCATAATAATGAGAAGACTTTTTCCACTTAAGTTTAATAAGGTTATTTTTAAAGAACTATTTTCATGGTAGGGGTCATTATAATAAAGTGTGTGTTTTTTTGTTATGGTTTTCAATAGCAAAATGGAAGAATATAAAATGATTTACGAAAAAGTAAATTAAAACAATAAATAAATAATTCATATTTAAGGTTAAATTGATTGAAGTAAAAATAAGTTCACAGTTTTTGTGTTGATTTAATCGGGATTTTAAAACAAACACACAAAGTTGTTTTAATTCTTGTTAACTAGTAATTATACTAAATATTATAATAATGAATTGGTACCACTTTATTTTTAAAAATTATTAATGTACGATTGTTTAGTTCCTGGCCGATCTGTAGTTTTGAATCAAGTTCTGTTCTGTAGTTGAAATTTTTTATTTATTTTGATTTCAAAAACCCATATTTCTATTTGAATGCAAATTAGTTTTGAGTCATTATCAACGCAGCTTATCGGGTTATTAAAATCAATTATTGTGGGTTCTTTGTAGGAAGTGTCTTTATGGGAAAATTGGTAATGTAGTTTTGAAATTATATGTTATAATAACCAATTCTTTGCATCACTTTGTTAATGTTTTTTCTAGAAATTCCCGTTTTTTAAATAAAATTTTCTTGTCACCTCAATCATTTTTTTTTTAAATCAAACCCCTATAAGATCAGTTTTAATAATGAGACGGGTATAAATAAACCTCTTTCAATTGGTTGTTTGGAAAAATTGTATTATGATTATATAACAAAATAACTATTCTTTTGATCAATAAATAAAAATTTCGTTAATTTTATTTCAATAACAAATAAAGTTGAAAAGAAACGAGAAAATTGGGTTATTGGAATAAAAAACAGAAAAAGGTTAAAAAAATAACGATCTTAATTATTATTTTGAGCAAAACATAATAAAAAAATGAGAAGTGAAATATTTTGGAATTACCAGAAATTATCACCCATTTTTTTGATTTTAACTATTAAAATAATAAAAGATTTAAATTGAATAACATTTTTGAATTGTTATTGAACAAAAATAAACAACTTGTAATTATTATTTACAGTATGTGAGAAAAGTATGTGAGAATGAGAAAACCCTGTGGATTCAACAAAAATTACATATTTGTTTTTCTTTTTTTAAATAAAAATGTTTTTCTTTAAAAAAAACAATCTAAATAATATAATTATGAGCTCCAGGAATGTTGCTTTTAGTGGCTTAGACCATACAACACTTGAAAAGAATTTAAAGTATTGTCCTGGTCCAGTGAAAGAAATAGCCCAAAGAACATTCAGCAAACATTGCAACTTTTGTGAATTGCCCCTGAATGTTCAGGTGTATTTGATGAATATTGAAAGAGAAATTTTCAATGGAATTAATACGGAAAAGGTGACCGAGAGTAAACTATGTAGAGTCTTTGCTTTAACTTCAAGTCAGTTTAATATCAACAAACGAAGAGGTATGGAGACGGCATTGTTTGGAAAAAAAGATAACGGAAGACCGTCACTTTTAACTGAAACACAATGGGAAATTGTCAAGAATTTGATTCTTGATAATGAAAAGTTTCCAGGAAAATGCAAAGCTATCAGCATAACTTATTTGAGGTTGTTTATAATAAAAACCTTCAACGTTGATGTGTCAAACCATGTTATTTATGATAAAATACATAAAAATTGGAACTTTTCGATTGTTACTGTGTTTGCTGAAGACCAATCTCGATTGACCTACGACGAAGATGCCGTGTTGAAGTATTACATTGCACTGCCACTTTTTTTAAATGGCATCCCATCACCATTTATTATGAATTTGGATGAGTCAGGGTATCAGCCATGGCCAGACAGGCAAATGGTGAAGGGAGTATTCACTGCTGGTTTTTCCACAGACAGTAAAATGAAATATGGAGTCGAACGTGACATTGCTCGATCCACTGTCGTTTGCACTATTACCCCCTCACAACCTCTTCCTTGTATGATTGTAACAAAATACAAAAGAGTTGCAGTTGAATTCTTGAAATTGGGTTGGATGGAAACGGGAAACATCGTCAGTTATAGTAAAAACGGTTTTATCAACAGTGACCTATTTATACATACATCAACGACGTTGTAGTACCTTATATTGTCGACATGAGAATTAAGACTGGTTATATTGATAAGGCAGTGCTGATATTTGATCAGTGCACGTGCCACTCAATCGAAGATGTGAGGTTGTTGCTCAAGTCGAATGTCCAAGTCAACGAGAAAATCATCAACGTGAACTGTGAAATCGTATGTTTGGTGCCTCACACCTCACATTTAACACAACCATTAGATGTTGGGGTGTTTGCAGCCCAAAAAAGAAGACTGAATTCGTTGTATGCTAAGTTCAGAGATGTCATAAAAATTAAAGATAGAGTTGGCGAGGAAGAAACAACAACGACAGAAAGTGAAGACGTTGAAGAAAAAGAAGAGTCAGATGATGTGATTGGAAACCAAGATCCCATTGAAGAACCAATAATACCTCAACAGTTTAAGGAAATGTTTCAGGAAGTGCTGGCAAATCCACAAGAAGCGATATCACCATTTAAAAAGAAGGCTGGTACGACTGTCAACGAAAGGATGGTGGATGACAACCAATCAGAAGATCGCAACGAAATACCAAATGAAACTAAAATTGTTGAATTCGGTGATGGAGAGGACTTAGAAAAAAAGTTTGCCAAATACCTCAACTCAATTCTGAAGTCTTATTTCCAAACAACCACTCCGGATGTGTGCACGCAGGCTTTTAGGCAAGTTGGTATTGATTTCAGAATTGTTGATAGTGGTATGAGGGTTGCGTATGTGGATATTGGAGTCTCACGCAGAGTAACAGCAGAAATACCGAAACTGTTAAGTATACCACAGTTATACTCGATTGAATGCGTCAAAACCAAAAGCTTGAAAATATCTGCAGTTCGAAAGCTTCCAATGTGTTTTGAGGGTTATTCGTGTCAGTCTGTTTGCAAGCCGTTAAAAAGAAAAGAACGGGATGTTGTATGTAAAGTTGTGAAGAAAAAGACGACCAAAAAAATCTCAAAAAGAACTAAAAATGGGGTTGAGAATTTAATCGATTGATTTTTATCTTTTTAATCAGTTGTATCGCCCAGTTCACACTACTGTTTCCTATCACAGGTCAGATGGTCACTGTTTGAATCAACATATGTCTGAACTATCATAAGTCCTTCCAATAGAAAATATTCGTTTGTTAAACTTTCTTTCGTTATTGAGATATTAACTTGTAGAACTTGCTCGCAAAAACTCTTAAATTAAACGTTGCCTGCTTTGAATCGTCTAGCTGCTATGGCTGATTTGTCCAGTATTCCTGGGATTCTTTAGCGTGAGGTCTGAGTCAATTAGTTGGTAAGTGCTGGCTGGCTGTTCACACTCTGAAAGCTGCTTTGTAGGTTTCCAAACAAATTGAAAGAGAAAATGAACTGTAAATAAGTGATTTTTTTATTTGATCTTTTTGAATTTTTTGAAATAAAAAAATAATAATTTTATTACATAAAAGTTACACAATTGTAACTTTTGTTGAATCCACAGGGTTTTCTCATTCTCACATACTATTCTCACATACTGTAGTAATTTTAAAGTAATAAAGTCTGTCTAAAAACGTTGTCCGCTTGTAAAACGTTGTCCATTTGACAAAATTTTACACAAAATATGTTGAAAAAATTAGGAATTAGGTAAAAACGATCAAATCCCGGTAAAAATTATGAAACGATGTTTTGGGATTGTTTTGATTTGTTTCCCGAAATATTCCAGTTTTGATGGTCCAAAAATGCCTGGACAACGTTGGAGAGCGGACAACGTTTTCAGACTGACTATATATTATTTTATATTAATATTTTTAGTAATTTATATTTTTTTTATAAATGAAATACTTTTTTTTGAAGTTATGTTACTATAAAAAATTGTATTGTTTTTTATATATTTTTAGTAAAATTAATAATAATATATATTATAAAATTTTATTTAAAAAAATCAATATAAAAATAAATTTTTTATCTTCTTTTTATTTTTATTAATTAAAAAGCAAATAATAATAATTATAAAATGTATTATCTAAAAATAGTATTTTAACAATTAAAAAGTTTAATTCAACAAAATAAAAAAAAACAAAAACATCGTTGTCTTTATTATTTTTTTCAACGCCACACATTACAATAAAATTATTTGTGTTTTAAATCAAAGACATTTCACAGACAATAATTTCAAAACTCACTTTAAACATTTAAAAACATAAAACTATTCTTTATTCTTTTTAATACAAATAAAGTAAATATTCGACACAACCAGTCTAAAAATGTTGTCATAAGCTTTTTGGTCAATGATAATAAAAAATAATGGGATTCAGTTCTAAAATAAAACTGTGTTTTAAATATTTAACCTAGTTACTAAACTAATTTTTTTTTATTATATTTTTAATTATTGTTGTAGTTATTTTATTAATTATCTTGTATTTGATATTAACACTTAAAATAACGCCATTGTTTTTTGTTTTTGCCTCTTTTTACAGGGATATTAATCCATTTTTTAATGGTTTTCCTTTTTTGGCTTGTGTATTGTTTATGCACAAAATAAAAACTCTAAAAAACGGAATTTTATTTAATGAATTCGAGATTTCCCGATTTTTAGACCACTTGAATTTTGTTCAATGTTTTTTAAGTGTTAATTGGTTGAAATTATCAATGATGTATTGGTAATATCACTAGTTTAAATAATTGGTGTGTTTAATTATATTTGATGATTAAAAAACAATTGTTTTCAAACAAAACTTATTAATTTTTTTTATTATTTATTTATTGAAACTCTTGAAAAGTTGTTAACTTTTCTTATTGATATTTTTATAATTAATAAATAACTATATACAAATAGTAAATTAAATTATATGAAACCATAAAAAAATACTTGAAATTAGGGGAGAAACCCGATAGTATAGAGGTATTAACGAAAGAATAACAGAACAAATAGTTAAAAGAAGTTTCATATTTTCAGATCCAGTATTATGAGCTATGGCGTTTCATTTGGAGGTGAGTTGGGAGAACTTACGACGAAGGACCGGAATGCCATACCACGTGTTTGTCATTTTGTGTTAACACGATTAAGTTTGTTTATTACACCTTGAACTTTAGAAGAAAATAACGAATAACCATTAGCACCCAAAATCCCAATTAAAAACCCCAAGAATTTTTTTCTATCGTTCTGTGGGAATAGAACAAAAGACACATTCAAAGCACTTTGTAACTTTATTGTCGTTCCTGATAGCACTTATTTGTCTTTGAATGCGACTATATTCTTCTCGTATTTACATTACTTTAGAGTTTGTGTTCATTGCCGTCTCCTCATAACTAACATTTAGGACGCTAACAATAAAATCATTGTTCGAATGCACAAAGCTAAAAAGCCGAGTGTTGTCTATGCAACTTGTTCCATTTCAATGAACGAAATTCTCTACTCTGGATTTACAGGAGATCTCGAGATGAAAGGAGCTATTGAGAAAAAGAACTTGGGGAAGGAGTTGTATACCATCACTTGCTCTGTTGAGAGTGTGCCTTTGGAGTACAACCACCCCCATGATGTCGAAAAATTTGTGAAAACGTGTGGTGTTCGCAATGTTGGGACTTCTGCTGATGCGCAAGAGAGTTTGGACTTATTCTTCGATGCCGCTGAAAATCTCCAAGAGGAAGACAGTGACACGGAAGAGGAGAACCCACCAACTCCCATTATAACAGAACACTCGAGTAAAAATTTGAGTCAATTGATTCAAATCAAATTGGCGTCTGAAGCACAAAAGGACTCGAAGGAGAATAAAGAAGACAACAAAAGACAGAGTAAGACTCTCTCGCAGAGATTAACACCAAAATTCACTTCGGCGAAAAAGATCATTGAGAACGAAGACGGTTCAACTGACTCAGAAGACTGTCTTAAACCTTATGAGCAAAATGAAAGTGAATTGGAAGAAGTCGATAAAGAAGACAATTGTGTTGTTATCGTTCTTGATCCAAAGAAGAGGAGAAGTCTTCGATTCTACGAGGCGTTGGGTAAAAATGTGAATGGAATAGTCGATGGGAAATACCACTTTGTGTTTATTAGTGGGGATGGTGAGATGAAATCGTTTGCGAGTATTCTGTGTACTAAAAACGTGAAGGAACGAGGTACAAAAATTGTGGTTTGTGGGTCGGATTCATTCCTTTCACTCTTCATACGTCAGATGACCGAAGCTGCAACAAAGAAGGCGAAATTTGGTAACGAAGTCTTTGAAGTCTATTTTGTGCCTGTTGGTAAGACATGCGAACTAATCAATGTGATGGACTCGTCATACAAAAAGTTGTTCGGTGGCGACGAGTGGAGCACTTTGTTCAGTCCGATTAACTCGTTACAGATGGAGATGTGCGAGAGGGTCTTTGAAAAGGTCGACATCTACGTCCAAAACGCGAATTCGAGTAAACAAATGCAACTCGGTGAATTACAAGCGTCTTCAAATAGTGAGACCCTCATCTTCCCTTTCTTAAAAGACGTTGGGATGTACTCCAGTAAATTTGAGTCGAAAGCGCCAAATGTCACCATTGATTTGTGTAAGGTGAAAAAGGATAAGCAACACGTGACCAAGATAAAAAAGGCTCTCCAGTCGATTGATGTGATCAAAATCGACTGTGTTCAGAACGTAAAGGTTGTTGAACGATACGGGGAAGGGAAAGACACCATGCTTTTTGTTCTCAGAAAGAACACACGAAAGGATTTGAGCTGCGAGCAAATAGTGAAGTCGGTGAGCAAAGAAAAGGATGACGAAGAGAAGAAGAAAGATAAGAAGAAGACTGAAAAGAAGGAAGAAACTTCTCCCATAAAGAAAGAAGAAAAGGACGAAGGTGGAAACATAACTGGGACGAATAAGGTGATGGTGACAGCAGAAGAAGCTGCGTTGTGTGTTTACATCGATGGGAGGAAAATTAATACGGATGTCAAGTACTTGTGTGTAAAGAACTCTTGGAGTGGGAATAGTGTGTTTGCGTTCAAATCGTTTTTGTGAGGTAATTATCAATTTCTATATTTTGGTTTAGTCCAAATTAATAGCAATTGGAATCGGAAAAGTACATTTACTTGTGATGAACATTAGTTGCCGCTCCAATACCTGCCCGAGTTTGCTTCAATTCCACATTTTGTTGTTCTGTGTTATATTCTTGTGTTTGGTCGAAGCCCATTTGTTTGAGTAACTGAAATCCTACATTATTTTCAATGTTTGGTATTTCCGTTGGATACTGTTGGTGGGTTGTATGTTGTGGGGCTTCTCCCACTTTGAGTGTTCTTCCTGTCATTTCATAGTCGATGCTTGTTAATATGTTAGTGTTGACATAATGGAGCACACTCTTTTCGCAATGGAGTCGTAACATCTCTTCAGTATCAAACTGTCTTCGACACACAACACAGACGTACCAAGGAGGTTGAATAATCTTTTCACCAAAGTCCTCGACCATACTTCGTATCTTTTTCACATCCAGATTTTCCCATTGAATGCTCTTTTTAGAGTCTTTTAAAATCGTCTTCTTCTTGTTGTTGTAATCGAGTTTCCGACACGACGTGTCAAACTCATTTCGAACGGCCTTCCAGTCGTTGTCGTCCATTGTTTGCGTTCGTTTGTTCCACCTCGCGATGTCTTTCCGAGTTTTCCCACAGTGCGCAATTTCATTCTGTGGTTCGATCTTCTCCTCACTCTCCTTTTTTTTCGGCTCTACTTTGTAAAAGTCGAAATTCATATAATTCGGTTGGGATTCTTCGACTTTCTCAATTTTTTCATGCGATTTAACGACACTTTCAACAACTGGTTCGACGTTCTCTTTTGGTAAAACACAAGGCTTTGCCGCTTTGGGTTTTTCATTGCCTTCCCAATCAAAACATTCGTCCTCTTCTACGTCGTTATTCATCAATTCGTCGAGATATGACAATCTTCTACTCATTATCTTCTCAAAAATTGCGGATTCAGAGTTCTCATCTGCCAAATCACAATCTGATTTTTTTGAATCATTTTGCAAACTCATTTGAAGAAGATTATACCTTTGCTTGACACGAAATTTGCCTAAGATAATTATTATTTCTTTCCAATTTTTTCCTTTTTTTCAACTTCTTCAAGCAAAAAAAATCTTATTAAAATGAAACTAAAAATGCTTAGAAACAATTGATGAGTAAAGAACAACCATCTAACTTTGTCATTCGACAAGAGAACGAAAGGAAAAGCGTCTCTAAGACTCCACTAAAGAATATGATCATGTTGGATGAGAGCGAGGACATCGACGTCGATGTTGACCAAGACATCATCGAAGAGGAAACTCCGAAGAATGTGACCCCACCCATGACACCTCCCATTGAAAGAGAAGTTCTCTTCTCAACTACAAAAGCCCCCGTGGAGAATGAAAAGAGTCGGAGAATTAAGGAATTGTGTTCAAACGTCAATACTCAAAGTAAAAACGTTGTGATGGAAGAGTTAAGAGAGAAACACGGCGATTTTGAGAACTCGACAACAGACACGACGGTGGACCCCGCACTCTTTTTACGATTTGAGAAATCGACGGACATCGACAAGTCTCTAGAGAGGTCCGAGGGTTCACAAAGTGTTAAATTGTCAAAGGAGAAGAGTTCTACGCCATTTGAGAAAACAAAAGTCGACGATGTATCGAAGGGGGTGTTACTTGCGGACGGAAAAGAGCTTGACGCATATTTGAAAGATTCAAAAAGAAATTCTGAGTTACCAAGCGACGCTGCCACTGAGGCGGGATATACGATATTCTCGGAGTCGAAAGAAACGGACAATTCGGAGAACGAGAAAATGAAATTACTCAAACAACAGTCGATGGAAATTGACTCACATGTTTTGGAAGTGGAAGAAGACAAACAAGCAAATCAAATTGTTGGAAATGCGATGGAGGAGGTGAAAGATAAAAAAGAAGTGCAAACGAGAACACCTATGGAGGAAGAAGGCAATGACACGCAAACTATTAAGGTCGTAAAAATTGATCCGAAACAAATGGAAGAAATCATGGCGGCGAATCGCGACGACAAAGAAGAGTCACGGAGAGCAAGTGCACTTCAAGATTTCGTTAAATCGGATTCAGAGGAATTGATGGAAGAGAATGAGAGAAATGTTGAGGCACTCGTTTTTAATAAACACAATTTACAAACTCCAGGGAGTAGAAGAGAACAAATGCAAGCACAAATACTCAAGAGGTATCTCCCAGTTTCGTTAGATTCTGATAAGTTAAAAGGTGTTGTTTTGCCGATTCTTACGTCCGTGTCGAGAAAGGGACGGTTGAGGTATATTAAAAAGGTTGAGGCGATTGCTAATGGTCTTAAAAAGAAAAAAAGGCTCTTACGGAATCAACACGATGTGGACGAATTACTGAGAGTTCAATCAACAGAGACAACACCAGAGTTTAAACGCAAGTTGAGAACAAAGGAAGAACGAGAGAAGAAGCCCCGAGCACCACCCAAGCGTAAAAGAGTTTACTTCTTCGTCGAGGACTTGGATGATTGAACTTTAATAATTAAAAATGTTATTTAAAATGTTATTTTAATGTCCATTTTTAAATATATTTTAACATCTTTTTATAATTTCAAACAAGGAGTAAAGAATTGTTTTTAGTTTGTTCACTTTTTTTTTCATTTTATTTAATTGAAATTAAATGGCCGTATTTTTGTTTAAAAAATAGGAAAAAACCGAAATAATGGGATGGGTTTTTAGAATGGTTTCCCGAAATTATCCACTTGGTTATATCCAAAAATACTAGATAATGTTGTTAGACTGATGATATTTAAAAATAAAATAACAAATGGTTTATTTAAAACCAGTTTGAACAATAGATTTGTCAAGTTAAAGTATGGATTAATTATAATAAAAATATCGATTAACACTAATAACAAAATACCTATAATTTATAATAAAATATACAATAATTGTTAGTACGTATATTCAGTCATTTCCAAAAAACTTGCTTGAGTGAGAAATAGATAATAAGCGAAAAGAAACACAAAGGCAAAGTCTCTGATATGTGTAACAAAAGTGCACACGACAGACAAATAATAAAAGTCGTCGGGAAGTATCAAAAAACATCAGCATATTTCCCGCATAATTAGTAGAGTCTGTTGATCAGACTTTAACTTGGTTAATAAAACGGCACAGACATCAAAAGGCAAAAAATCAAGGAAGTGAATCAGAGAAATGAAAAATAGGAAAGTCAAAAAACAATTCAAATTGTATTAATTTCTTACTAAAAATTGTCATTATTACAAAACTTAAAATTATATCATATAATATGGTTTATATATTATACGATTATAGTATAATAACAATCTGTGATATTAATTTTATATAAAGCATATTTTTAGTGTTTCTCATCCAGTAAAGTAAAATTATAAACTAAAGCAAGTAGGAGAAATGTAATTCAAAGCTTTTGACATAATAAGATAATATTATGAAAGAGTCAACAGTCAATTTCTGAGTCTGTCTTTCTTTAATGAATGTCTGTTCAAACCAAAGAATAATATAAAAAGAAGACTTCTCATCTTTTCAAACAACAATATGACATTATCTGTTGATGAACTTACTCAGAAAGTTAGTGATAAGGCATCAAAAGTGTTTGATTCATTCTTTAAGATGTTAGATAAGATGAAATATATCATCATCATATTTTGGATTCTAGTGACTCTTGGCTTGTTATATTGTGTTTTTGGGTTCTTAAAGCACACTTCTATGACTGTAACAGCCCCTAAAGGTACATTAGGATATGAGGCCAATGCACTCTTTAAGACATATTTTCCCGATCAAGCCACACTTTCAGATGGAGGAATAGTAATTCAACAATATGAGAAGAAAGATGACATCAACAACTCATCTTATTTACTTGACTTCTCTTTGTACTTGAATGATTCTTTAATAAACGACAAAAAGGGTTATTTAGTGAAGAAGATTCAAGGAAGGTACATCTCACCTCCCGAAGATACCATCTTCCAAACTTTAATAAATAAATACAGTGGGATCAATATGGTATCTGGAGATACAACACTGATTGAATTACAATTAGATTCTTCTGAGCCTTCTGCGTTAACGGGTATAATAAAGAGAACTCGTTTATATATAGATGATTACATTAAAGACAATGGTGATAATGGGTATCATTTCTATGTGACTGGATATGATGCCCTTTCTTTAGATCTTCAAAATGATGTGATCAAGTCTTTAGAGAAGATGGAATTTATAGTGATGCCATTAGCTCTTTTGATACTCTTATATGTAGTCCAGTCTCCTGTATTATTAACTATACCATTAATTAATATGGTAGTTATCATAGTAGTAAGCTTTGGTATCATGTATCCCATATCACTGAATGTTGTAGTGTTTGGGATAACCCCAGCAATGATGTTATCTGTTATAATGGCTTGTGGTATTGATTATTCCCTTTTTCTACTTACTCGATTTACAGAAGAGATTAATAAGAAGCAGAGTTATTATACATCAGTGTCTAATATGTTAAGGTCTTCTGGAAGAATTGTAGCAACAAGTGGGTGTGTCATGCTCTGTTGCTTCTCTGTGATAGCATTCTTTCCATTTGATTTGATCAGATATATGGGCATCGGGTGTGCGTTGGCAGTCACTTCGACATTACTTGTCGACTTGACATTATCCCCCGCGTTGCTCTTAGCATTTCCAAGATTTTTTAAACTCCAAAGTTGTGTACCGTGTTCAAAGAAATGTGTGAAATACACTCAAAAGCGTGCTCGATTCCAAGGCTTTGGAGATAAGATGTGGCACCTCTTTGCGACGTTTCAGAGTAAAAAGCCAGTCTCTCTAGCATTACTCATTGGTGGATTTCTGATCCTTTTACCATTCTGTTGCTTCATTTACAAATTCAAGTGGACTTTAGACACCAATCAAGTCGTTCCAATAGACACAGAGTTTGATATTGGCTTCAAAACGATTCAAAAAGCCTTTCCTCCAGGAGTGTTATATCCAATGAATTTACTCATTCAAAACAACTCACAAAAATTGAATTACAACTCAGAAGAGTTCTATCGATTTTCTACTGAGTTAGTTAATACTTTAGTAGTCGATATGAATTATGCATTTGATAACAATTCATATATCGCTTTCAACTCTGCGGGGGCTAAAGTGGCATCTCCCGAGTTATTAAGTCAAATGGAACATATGGCTGGATATGTAGAATTTACTCAAGACTATATTTCAAGTGACAATAACTTGATTGTATCTCGATTGATTAGTACAGTAGATCCGACTAATAACTCCACTCAACTTGTCGCGGATATTCGAGCGCATTTGACTCAACTTGAAAGCAAATATGGGTACACTTTATTACTGCAAAGTTTAACAATAGATGGCGTTGATTGTGTGAACATGTCGATGCGATATTTTGGAGTCGTTGTAATCGCATTGTTCATAGTAATTTTGCTGTTAGTCCTTCTCTTCTTCAAATCACTAATGGTTCCTGTTCGAGTCGTTCTAACGACTTCCTTAACTGTACTCTTTGTATTTGGAAGTGCGTCTTTTGTGTTTTGCACTGATTACTTTGACTTCATTCCTGATGTCAAAGCGATAGATGGACTCTATTGGGGAGTTCCTTTAGTCTGTTTACCTATTATATGTGGTCTGTCATTAGATTATGATATCTTTCTGTTCAGTCGAATCAAAGAATATCGAGAGAGGAAATTCTCGACAACGGTAGCAACTGTATTTGGTGTAGAAAGGACTGGCTATTTGATAACATTTTGTGGTATTATTATGGCAATAGCATTCTCCGGTCTTTTCATGAGTGACATTTTGTGTTTAAAATTATTTGGCTTTATATTAACTCTATCAGTGCTCGTGGACACTTTCATAGTGAGAACCTTAATAGTCCCATCTTTCGTACATTTGTTCGGAGAGGCAAATTGGTGGCCAATTAAATATGAAATCGAAGTGACTCGATATGAAGATGCTTGTGATCATAACATGTACGATCACTTGGATGAAGAATCTTCTTCTTCATCTTCGTCAACTCGTGAAGAGTTT